GGGCCCCACACCCCAGGTGTTCATCGCTGACCGGGAGATGGTAAAGCGCATTTTTATCAAGGACTTTAGTAATTTCAGCGAGCGATTTGTTGCCAACTTTTACTCTTCTGCCACGAAAGACCTGCTGGACATGCTTGTGCACGACCGCTGGAAGGTGGTGAGGGCGATCCTGACTCCGGCTCTGTCTACGGGCGCTAAGCTCAAGGCCATGATGCCCACTTTGGAGCATTGTGCGCGCGACGCCTGCACACGCTTGGACCAGGAGCTGCTCAAGAGTCCCGTGGTGCAGATCAAGGACGCTTTGTTCGGGCCGCTGGTGCTGGACGCCGTCGCCCAGTTCACATTCGGCCTGAAAGTACCCAACATAAGCGACAGCACCCACCCGTTCGTCAAGGCGGCCAAAACCTTTGGTGGCGACGAGTTCTCCAGTCCGGTCATCTCGGGCTTGCTGACCTTCTCGCCGAAACTCAGCTCGATGCTCATGAGCAAGTTCATGGCGCCGCCGCTCCAACTGCTGACGGATATCCTGCGCAAGTCGGTAAAGGAGCGACGCGCAACCGGCGCCGACCGGGCGGACCTAGTCGGCGCCCTTATCGACGCCATCGACAACAAGGTGCCGACGAAGGAGTTTCGCGAGCTCGACATCACCGAGGACGTGCTGCTGCTGCAGGGTGCCAACCTGCTCATGGACGCGTACGATACCACCGGCAACACGCTGTCTCTCTGCGCCTACCACTTGGCCACCAACCCCGACGTGATGGCACGGGTGCTGGAGGAGATCAGCGGCGTGGAGCTGACGTACGAGGCGCTGCAGCAGCTGCCGCTGCTGGAGGCCGTGATGCAGGAGGCGCTGCGCGTGTCGCCGTTCATTCCGCGTCACCAGCGGACCTGCCAGCGCGACTGGCAGTGCGGCAACCTGCGCTTGCCGGCCGGCACCTGTGTCACGATCCCCGTCTGGCCGTTACACCTCGACCCGGAGGTGTTTCCGGAGCCGGAGCGCTTCCTGCCAGACCGCTGGCTGGGCGAGGAGGGTCGCCAGCTCGGCCAGTACAACTGGATGCCGTTCGGCCTGGGGCCGCGCGCCTGTATTGGCATGCGGCTGGCCACCATGGAGGTCAAGTTCGTGCTGGCCTATGTGCTGCAGCGCTACCGGCTGATCGCCGCACCCGAGACAAAGCTGGTGTACCGCAAGGGCACTTCAGTCTTCTCTGGCTTCTACCCCATCCACATTAAGGTTGAGAAGCTGTAGACGGACGCACCAGCTCGGATGTGCGAGCATCGTGACTCAATGTCGTGTCCCGTTTGTTGGATTAGCTAGGGAAGAGTAGTGTCTTATCATTGCCAGGAAGCATGAACCTCTGGCACGGTGCGATTATTTGGCAACTCCTTTAGTGACAAGTTTTTGATTCAACTCAAAGCCTGTGGATGGTCAATCATAATACGAGAACGGCCGAATCCGAGTGACCAATGTCCAATACCACGTGACGGGGGCTTCACATAACCAAAGTTATCAGCCAGGTTCTGATTTTAGGCACCAGAATATTCACCAGGTCATGAGGATAGCGTTCGTCTAATCATTTTAACTTCTTAAGGTCGCCCTCCAAGGTCAACTCCAACTTCAAAGGACGCTGAACTCCCAGAATTCGAAATTTACCGGCCGATTGCGGATTTTGAACACCAGAATATTCATCAGCGCATAAAAAAATTTCCCTCAGAAAGGTCCCGACCTCTCAAGGTCATTGGTGTACTTTGCGGCGATGTGAGGCGGAGCTTATATTTGACTAATGCCTAGTGTATTTGTTCCTACTGCATCACCTTGCAATTGCTTTCAATTTGACATGGCCGCCGGGCCGCGATATGATAACACAGAAAAGCCAGCGATCGGTCAGCCGGTCGGGCAAGGCATCTAAGCGCACAGACCGCCCGCCGAAAGGGCAGCTGCGGGCCGGGACGAAAACGGGGATCGTCAAGACGAGACGGCCCTGGTCGAAACGCAGGATGTGCCCGGCATAAGCTACGCCAGACGCACTAGAGTGTTAGAAGCATGTTCGCAGCAGGGGGGCCGCAGGGGAGCGGGGCGTCCAATGGAGCCGCGTCCCACACCGCTCGCGTGGCTGCTGCGCCGGGGTCGACAAACCGCCAGCACACGACCAACCAAAGACCCGTGCAGAGTCGGAGCCGGCTGATTACCACCATCCGCCGCGGGGCAAGTTCAGACCCCGAGTCCGAGCAGCGCTGGAGACCGAGTCCCGGCCGATCGGAGAGAGCCCATGCAGCACGGACATGAACATGAGCATGAATGGGAGCGAGCTTAGCTGATGGCCGGAGCTCAGGGGAGGAGCATTTTCGGACAAAACCGGGGGAGCGTCACATTCAGGAATAGGACAGCCACTCGGAACCACCGACCGGAGGAGGACCAGCCATTGGATTCTGGGAGATCGACCATCGGACTCTGAGGGCTCTCAGTGGACCGGCGGCGCTCTTCGCCCGACAATTCCAATCATCATCATGTGAATGGAGAAGCTGCGACGAAGAGCTGACGCACTGCAGTCTGTTCCCCGTTTCCATCCCTCTTCGGCCATGTCTTCATACCTCCTTCCCCCCCCCCCCCCTCCGACGCTCCTTTCGCTCTCCCTTGCTTCTCAGACGCCAGCTGGGTGCGAAAACGCTGCAGAGATATTACTAGTTTAAGGGATACTAACCAGACACGATGGGCAAGTCACGTACCGGCTGGGGATTAGTACCCGCGAAGGGCGAATTAATCCCCACCCGGCAAAAAGCATGATGTAGAAACCATCAATATGAATGTGACCTGCTCAGCGCCTGACCCCTACTTATACAGGGTAGGGATCACGCGCCCGGCAGGTTGTATTGTATGTAAGGTTACGTCATAAGTATTGTCGGGGAGAGAAGTTCTATTGCTTGCATGCAAACTAAGTGCCGTGTGCATAGATGTGTGAATGTGGATTATAATTTAATACAGTGGTTGCATGAATATGATTTTAATGATTTCACGCCGTGATTTTAAGGGGGAACGCGAGGGACGTAAGGGCAGAAACAAACATGGCGCAAACGAACCGTAATCAGGTCAGGTATCCAGACCCTGATCGCGGGCATCCGTTAAATTAGTAACCTGCACGAGTCTTCATGCAAAGTTAGGTGTGAAGGAAGGACTGCTAGTTGGAATGTTGCACTTAATTTATACAGTTATTGATGTAAATATATTATCGCGCACAGCTATAAATGTAAGTCTACCGTAAACGTACATTTCGATTCACCAGTTGTTCTTTAACTTAACAAAATTTAAGGAAAACTGGGGTCAACAATACCTGATTTATTTTATTTGCCACTTGGCTGTTTACTTGCGACGCGCATAGCCCTTGACGTGACTTGGTGAGAAGTGACGCACATTGCACATCATCCTCGTATAATCTGTCAGCAATTCGGGAATACTACAAATCTTTATTCGTAAGTTCTGCTGTTCTGGTGTCTCGTCTCCTGCTCACTGGCATACGCGGTGCGTTCAAAGTCACTTCTATATTTATATATAGACACTATATTTATACATGGACACATATATAGACACTCGTCACAGGCACTCCACGCCGTCCGTCCTCGCACCGACGGCTTTCCGAGTCTTCTTTGTACTCTCTCCTCTTCTGGCTCCCGCGGCCGCGTCCCTCGCGCCTGGGGCAGGAGAGGAACGAGAGCGCCTCCAAGCGGCGCTCGCCAAACTACGCAAGCGTTCACTGGCTAGAACATAGGTGTTCTCTGACACGTTACATATTGATAATTGGAGCCCTGAATTATGATGGGATAAGTAGCCACTTGTTGCAATGTGCACTTTTCTGAACAGATTGGGTAGAAAATCGGGTAGATTGCAAAACATTCTATATTACCGGTATGAGTAGTATATGCCGGTAATATAGAATACCGGTATATAACAACTAGTATGAGTCTCCACAAAACAAGAAAGAAAAAATTGGAATAAGAAAAGACTGATTCTGCGATTCAATGCTTTACTATTGTTTACGACGCGCACACTTCTGCTGTAATTTTGGAACAGCTGACGTGCATTGAAGTTCCTTCTATTTCGATGGCTCTACATAACGCATCACATTGAGGTCAGAAAGACTGCTCGAAAACCCGTTGAGTCCTGTGAGCACGATAGCGCAATCGCTCATCTCGAATGCTTTTAATCTCCGCAATCCTTCAATAAATCATTCGTCACGCGATCGTTATGAAAGTCTAGGATTTGTCAGCAAGGGGATGGATTTTCGGATTACCGGCCCCGTTGCAGTACGCATTTCGAGCATGGAGACTTGATTGTTCGGACTGTTATCGACGGAGGAAGAGTTTACTCTAGGTCTACGCTGTGGACGAGTTAATCAGTTGTCTGGATTTCTGTTTCAGTATTTTAATGCCCTAAGTAACGATCGTGCGTGAGGATGTCAAACGCGGAATGAATGCAACGACACTAATTTTTCGGTTCTTTGCCTTGTGGCTGATTCAGTATAGCCCCCCCACCCCCGCCCCCCCCCCCCCCCGAGGCATCGGTTCGGTTCTGCTTCACTTTTGCCCCTCACCAAAATGAACCCAAACGCCTCACGCGACAGAGCCTGACGCGTTAAGATGAGCAAGAACTAACATTGCAAATGTGTGCTCAAGATTTCTAAAAGCTTCAACTTTAAAAGCATATTAGGCAATGGTACTCCACTCCGACCTTTTGTGCCACTGCAGGGGACTAGAGGTGCAAATTTGTGGGAGCCGAAGTTCATAAGGAGTATGACGAATGAGTGCAGGGTACGGTGATCGAGGGACGAATGTGTGGAATGGAATGGACGTCGGTAAAGTGGAAAATTTAAGGATCAGTGGAAGCATCGGTCGATCAGTACACGGGAGGGATGGACGAATTAGAATCGCATTTAAAGTCAGCTAATGTTAACACCGAAGGCAGTCTGGGGGAGAAGACGAAATGCCCGACAAGGCGTTCGTAACCCAAGTCTGTCAAACGGGTGTAGCAGGGGAAGAACCCTTCCACGGACTCCTCTCGATATCATTATGTCCGTAACCCCAACCTCGCCATCCATCCCGAGCAGTATCTCACACAGAACCGGTCAGTCTCACACTTGTCACTCACACACGGAGAGAAGCCGTGATCACCGTCTTACGCCGAATGTTTGTGACTGCGGTTATGTGGTAAAAGCTGTTCGTGTGGAGCGGGGGGGGGGGGGGGGAGGGGGGCGGCGCAGAAGAGCATGAGAACGCGGTTATGTGAAAGCTGCTTGCGTGGCATGTGGCGGAAGGTGCGGAAGACATAAGAGAGCATAGTTATACGGGGGTGAAAGGAAGATGAATGGCAGTGATGGCGAACTAAGATAGGTGACGTAGACGGGGATAGTAAGAATGTTCGATAAAAGAGCATTGGAGGAGATGACGATCGGGTGGGAGGTAGCCGTTCGGGGGTGGAAGAGTTACCTTGAAATAATGTATGACTGGTAGCGGTGGTGGTTATGTTTGAATATGAAATGTTTACTTTTTATCATTTTTTTCATTTTTATTATTTCATTATTAAATTATTAGGCGGCGACGAATAACGTATTTTCAACACAAAAGCACGTTAAAAGAAGGTGGTGGCGCACTGGCTACACAGAAGCAAAAGCATGCCAAGCAAACGGTGATGGGCACACTTAACCTGAACCTTGAACTCCCCTACTCTTAAACCTCGGGCGGCCACAGCGTAATTCATGAAAGTGTGGAGATGTGTAGCATCGTTTGCAACGCGCCTCACTTTTGGCGGGTGCGATAGCGCGAGATCGAAAGCGAGTGATGGGACGCGGCGCACGTGCTTTTGACCCGGGGAAGCGGGACGAGTGCAGCAGTGGTAACGATGGTGAAGATACGGCTCCAGCGTGCACATTCCCCAAAATTGCGGCGTTGGCCACCTCCAGCAACCGAATGATTTGGTGCAGAGCGTGGAGGAGCCACGCTGAGATGGCGGCGGCAGCCGGATCCCACGTTCCACACCGGGCCGGGATCCAGTCGGAAGGCGTCCATACCTGCCGTGGCGCCGCGGCGTTGTGCGCGCGCGATTACGGTGCCGCCGCGCGATTTCATCCCGTACGCGACGACCGTGGCTGAGGCGGGGAGAGCCAAGAGCAAGAGCGCAGGCCGCGGCACGGGAGAGTCGCCATAAATCATCCTAGAGGACACGCCTCGGATGAGCTTGACCCTGCGCTCGTCTAGCTGATGTGGCCAATTGGTGCAATGGGATAATCCGCAG